TATATCCAAGGATATTTTGCAGCCTTTACTGCATAATAAATTTCCCTAACAAATTGTACATTTACGTTTGAAAGGGCCTCTAATTATCATCAAAGATACATTTTTTAAAGCACAATATATTTTTATGAAAACTTAGGATTTAGAAAAGACATTTTTGCCAATTCAAAAGCCACATTATGATTTGTCAAGATCTGAATTCTAATTATTAGTAACACAATAAATTATGATTATTGTTACACTTATTTTAACATTATCATTCTGTTTTATCAGAATTTATTAAAATTGGTGGCTAACTTAGTATATAGGCTAAAGACGGGACATTTATCTCCCTGTGTTATCCACAATGGGGAGATTAAGCAGGTGCTTAGATTAAGTGATATTCGGTTTATCTCACAAGTTGAGGTGTCAAAACACATGCTGTAATTTTGAATGCTTTGTTTTATGCCTGATTTCAATACCTAAGAAAATAGCTGACAATGTATTATTTTATGTTATTTATTCAGTAATCATTGTATTGTATGATAATCTATCTTCCCACCGTCAATAACCATTTCACAGAACTGCTCTGTTCTGAAAACAAGTATATGTTACTTCACCATACAGCGTGTTCTCTAGATACAGGCTTGTCACTCAAACAGGAGAATGATATTCACTGATTTTCCAGGTGTGTTTTCAGAAAATTCCAGTCTATCCCCATAGTGCGCGTTGGCCGTACTGAGAGGTAAATTAATTCTGGTACCACTTTAAAATACAAAAATTTGCCAATTACATATAACTTATCTCCAAAGCATTATTATTATTATTACAACTATAAGAACAGTTGTTTTCTCCATTGGAGATTGAGATTAGAATCTGCCCAATCTGGATTAAAAAAAGACTTTTTTAAGACATTTAAAAATAAGTTCAGGTATTTTATATTTATTTAGCAGTATAAATAAGCAAACAATATGTGCATAAAATTTCGTGATGGTATGTCATCATACTGCCAGAATTAGTTTCAGGAGTATGTCAGAGAAAAATGCCTGAAATTTGAAAGTATTATTAACTAATAGTAATTAATTTAGAAGGAAGAAACCACATAAATTATACAAATAATACTAAAATAAAGTTAATTACTTAAAGATTAAAAACTGAATTACAATAATCAATGATATTTGGTGAGTATAATTATATTAAATGGTTAGCCTAGGTGACTGATTACTATTTTTTTATTTTACTGCAAAATTACAAATAAACCATTTTATTAAAAAAAAGAGGGTAGGGTGCAGGGATAGGTTTAAAAGATTTTGTCGTAAAATCCTAGTATACGGTACGACCTTGGCATGATTTTGAAAATTGTTGCCAATACCAAAATGACCCGTTTACTGCTCATTATAAATGTCAAGTTTACTGCTCATCATATGTTCCTAAATCGCCTGTGTAACATACACTAGGATTAAACAGATTTTGTTTTATACAAAAATGGGAAGGTATTTTCTTTCATTCAACACTTGCACGGCACATGCGCTTGAGTATTTCTGATGTTATAGTCGCTGGAAACTGGCTTTCCCTTTCTAAAAGACAATTTGACTGGAGATGGAAAAATTGTTTTTATGCAAGCTGCCTCAATGGCACTTATGTGATACATAATTTGCCAAGAAAGTGATTGCTTCCAACGTTGGCATAAATTAGATTTGGGGGGGGGATCGTTGTATGATATTCCTTGACCTTTTTCAGATTTTTACTTAAAATTCCTCGACTATTTTAGTCAATTTTTGAATTCCCCTACTTTTCCCAGTTTTTCAGGTAGATTGGCAACCCTGTAAATATGTTTCTTTCTGATTATTTTCACTTCATAAAACTCAAGTGTCCTTTTAAAGGAAAGTTTTTCCTGTTATTTAAGACAGATATCTACAAGCCTTTGTTTTAATTATCTGTCATATTTATATTAAGACAAGAAGTTGCATCAATGTAAAGTCTGAAATGTTTCAGTTTTTTTAATACTTTCTAATCACTTAATTGCCATAATGTGAATATATGCTAAACCTTTGATTACTTGATCTTCAGTCAGTCTGAAATGTTTCAGTTTTTTTAATACTTTCTAATCACTTAATTGCCATAATGTGAATATATGCTAAACCTTTGATTACTTGATCTTCAGTCAGTCGGAATGATTGTTGCAACTAGAAATTTGACGTGAAGTAAGGCAAAGTGAATATCGAAACATATTATTTGAAACTAATACTGATTCAACGTCAAGTTTTTAATATTTTTTAAGGAGTGCATTCCTTTAATTTTGGCTTACTGGAACTTGACAATATTTGCACTGATTATTCACTTTTTCCCATAAAAGTGAAAATCTTATGAAAGTACTACAATGTTAGATTATCATAGTGCATAGCTTGATCTGTCTTTTATACATAACATTAACAAATATGCTCTTTAATATGTGATTTACTTACTGATCTTCAAATCTGTCAAAATTATATTAGAATATTTGCACTCAATATTAATATCGGATCACTACATGGGACTGGATAAATGCTGGATTCTCTTGACTGAAAAAGTTTGGGAGATGTTTTATTCCTCTGTCACTTGGTAAGCATGTTTTAACTCAACTATTGTCCTCTGGGATTTATTTCAAGCTGACATAAATGCTGTTAAAATGTCAAGAAAATGAAAAGTAGTCTCCCTGAAAGCTTACAACTAAGTGATTTTAAAATAAAGTTTTAAAAGAATTTGATAAGAATACAGAATTATGGATATATTAACTGTCAAAAAATTGCACATCTTTGTGTCAATATTGAAAAAAATATTTCTGAAAGATGGAAATTAGAAGAAAGAACATTGGTTTGTAGAAAACTGCATCAAAGAAATTGTATATTCAAGGAGAAATATCTGAAGGTTCAAATCAAATTTTGTTGATGTTTTCGAGTCAGATGGCTCAGCGCAGCGAGTCAAATATTCCAGCAAATAAAGTTATACCAGTGAAAAAGCAGAAGAAATACCATCGCCAATAAAAGGCAACTGTTTTTCCACCGCAGGGCTGCATAAACTTAAAATATATAACTGAACATATCATAAATGGAAAATTCAAAGATGTCTCAGACAAATGTATTGAAGCTTCATGAATTTATTCAAAAAAATGTAAGGTAAAAATGTTTTCAGTTTTGATGAAACTGATCTTTTATCTCATGCTTTCAAAATGACCAGACTCTAAAGAAGTTCGGTATTATGGATAACATTGCTTTACTATTTTATTCTGAGCATTTGCTAATGAAATGAAAGGCAATTCCTTTACTCATGAAAATGTCATAGAAAACAAGCTGTTGCAACAAAAGTGAGAATGGTATATAGCGAATGAAGAAGGGAGAATGATTGCAGGTATATCTGCAGGAAGTTTCAAGAAAATAATTAAAGCATTGAGGTTTCCTCAAGGCAATGAGCTTTTACGAAAAATTTAAGAAAATAAAATATTTATTTATTCACATAACATTTAGTTATTTTTATGTTACGCTATTTTATTTTTGTGACTTAAAAAAATAAAATTTAAAAAAAATATCAAACTTATTCGGAAATATAGGAACACTTTAACAAACTAAATGTAGGATGATAAAATTGTGCAAAGCAACAGTACAGTCATAAAACCATGAAAAATTGTTTGTATGCATATCATCTAAAATAGAATGTACATAATACATTTTTCTCATTCATATATCTTTTCTGACTGGCCCATTGAAAAAGTGATTTACACTATTTTCTCTTTTAATGCAGAATGCAGTTTACAAACGCATCATGACGAATACTGGGTGACAAAGTATATTCTTTCAGGAAAAAAATGGTAATCAAATGATTAAAATTAAAAAAAAAAAAAATTTTTTTTTCTTTAAGTTTATATGAATAAACATGCTTAAAGTACACAAAGAAAATTAATAAATATAAATTTTTAATATAATAATTTGAAGAATTATATTCAACTACACAACTCAACTAATTAAAATGAAATTTAAAAAAGAAAAAAATATCTAAAAATAACAACTGAGATTAAAAAATATAATATGAAGTAAGAATACATTCAAGAAAGAAAATATGACATTTTTTTTGTCTCGAACAGAAAGAACTGACAGAATGAACTGAAATGTTTGCTAAATGAATTATTCTTGGTACAAAGTAAAAAAACACGCAAAGGTAAATTTCTGAATTACTGATTATATTTCAGAACAAATTTTGAAAATTTGTTAGGCATAATTTAAGTTATAGAGTCAAAATATGGAAAATTGTGCTCTTGTCATTTAAAAAAAAAAAAAAAAAAAAAAAAGAAGAAGAAGTTCAATTTTGCATCAAAACATATATGGTATTAGCAAGATCCATTCATTTGACCACAACAAATGAATGGATTAAATTAAATTACACTTTTATTTATTTATATTTTCTGCTTTAATTTCTCCTGCCCCAGCTATACTTTTTGTGTAAATATATATGAGTTAAGGAAAAGTTGCCAACAGTAACTTAATATTACTGTACAGCAACTATTATAAGCTATTATAGGCTCATTAATATTTATATACACTGTTCATCAGGAATGTGAGCTCTAAGGAACATATCTCATTCATATCCCACAGACTGCTTGTAGAAAAATAGAGTAAAATTGAATTTATCTATCTATCTCTCTCTATTTAATTTGGTACATAGGTGTATCTAGATAAGAGCCAGTGCCCCTTGAAGCGATTTTTTAAAAATCCGAATGAGATTTTTTAAACATGTTTTTTGATGAAATTGCATCAAATTAATGATTCTCTCTCATTATATCAGCATCAATGGCACACAGTTATTGTTGCTGATACCAACACTGTTGCCACTTGGGAAAATGAGGGCAATAATTCTATGCAGTTTTTAAATTTAATGTTCCTCTTGGATAATGGACATTTGTCGAGAGAAGGCAATGGGAAGTTGGTTAATTTATTTATTAGGATAATTAATATTTGTATTAAGGGATACTGCTTATTTCATTGCAATTTTTTTATATGTAATACATTTTAACTGAACTTTGTAGGGTTTTTTTTTCATGAAGTTCTGCAGAGTAAAATTCTGTGCAGTTTTTAAATTTAATGTTTGGTGTTCCCTTTAGGCACTTTCCCGGTACATTTGAAAGCCAGGCGAAGGCTAGCTGCATAGCGGCTAGTAATTTTATGAAACAAAGACAAAATTTTAATACAGGAAAGTGTCCCGTATAATGCACACTGCATTTCATAAAACTAAGAATTTTTTTAAAAAATAATTTTTAAAGCTTTTTAATTTTTTAAAAGCTTTACTTCTGAGCAATGACCTAGTAAAACATCCCTGTCTTTATTATTGAAGGGAAAATCAATATCCTCTAACAACAAACATTAAAACAAACAAATAAGATGTCATCTTTCTTCTTCCAAACTACTATTTGTGTTCTGCAAAGCATTTTCAAAATTCTGATGAAAAACAATATTATTGCAAACTGAGTGAACAGATGTATTAGTAGGTGAACTTGTTTCTGGATTGAAAGGTGATATAGTTTGATATACAGCAGCTGATGGTTCTTGGTCCTAATTATAGAATTAAAAAATTAAAAATTATTTTGAATACATATTAAATGTTCAATATGAAAAATAATAATTAAAACAAAACAAAAACCTCCTAAAACAAAAACAAAATAAAAAAGCTTAAGATAATTGTTATTTAGACAAAATATTTTTCTTCTCCTAACAATATTCAGTATACTAATATTTTCATATTAGCCTCCTTTTTTCTACCAATTTCATTCTGAAAAGGGGGGGGGGCTTCTTTCTTATAAACTTTTATTTAGTTCACTTGTGTTTGCCATATAGTCAAAAGTCATCAATTTGTAACTTACTTTTGTCACCTCTGTAACATGATAAGCTCTCGAGTTCAAATTTTGTACATACACTGCTAGTGCATGACACTGCAATGAGGTAACTTTCTCAAAACTTGATTTGGATTTTTTAAAATCTTGTGTTAAAACAATTTTTTTTTTCCCTGCATGTATCTTTGTTTAACACAACTTTGTTGAAAATTGCTCCATTTAAAAGGTTCAGGATACGTTTTAAAAGTTTCACAAATTATAAAACAAACTTCTTTTTAAAACAAGAATCATAAAAAAGAAAATAATAAATAAACTGAGCAATTTTCAGGATTTAAAATATATACAGAGGTGCCCACTTAAGTCTGGTACCACTTGTTTCACTACCAAATGGCTGCAACTATAGTCATGAAAGTAGCATCTAGGTATAAAAACTGGATAAGCACTACTAGATGAGACCATTTACAGTGCCACATAGTGGAAAATTATGGAGTTAGCATTCCTACCTCAAAAACGGTATCAGATGGGAGGAAAAAATGAATTGAAGTTATAGGAGCATCATCGACTTAGTATGAAAAGATACCTTGTAGATATGCATACTAAAAACAGAATGCTCAAAATGCTGTTTCTTCATGATTTCTAAAGCTGTGATCTCATGAAATTTGAACCAAAGGCGAAAAGACTATCTTTTGGACCTAAAAACAAGACTGTACAGTAGTATCACTTGTAATTCAAAATCGAGAGGACTGTGGTTCAAACTCCACAGAGTGCATCCTAGTACTGATTGTCTTTACCAACAGAGTAGTCAATATGCAGATTGTGCACAATCATGTTGTAAAACGCATCAACTGAATGCAACTTGAGCTTGGTGTGAGAAATTTGTGTATTATGCAAACAGTGTATGAAATGCCATGCCTGTATACTTCAAACAGCGGTAAAAGAGATATCTGCTCAGGATTATATGTTAAAGCTCATGGTCCTAGAGCGAATTTCAAAAAATGATTATTGCGAGATGGTTCTACTTTATGGTGAATGAGGGTAGAAGGAAGGCTCGATTGGCAGCGTGGTTTTATTGGCAACTTTTTCTTGTAAGACCACAACCTTCAAGCAAAACCATTCTACAGGCTGTGGAACATTTAAGGTAGATGAGCCAACTTTAATTTGGCGGACCAGCTAAGGTAGGGCAGAAGTCACAACCAGGAGATGTATTATACGCCTTTACATATTTGAACAGCAGCACAAGAGGCATAAGTGAAAAGTGTGGCTCCTCAAAAAGTCGCCTTTTGAAACTCCTACATGAGCACGTAAACTGGTCAGTATGGACTACCTTAGCGAGTTATATGCTTATCTGTACCGGACAACTCATCAGGCATTACTGAAAGGGGACGCCGAGAGACACAATGCATGGTGCAACTTCATCATGAACCAGACATCCATCCAACATTCTTAGCAGACAGAGTTTGGACGGTTAAGGTATGATTTTCATGGAATGAAGTATACAATATGCAGAGCACCCATTACTAGGTAATGGAAAGTCCATTATGTTCTGCCAACGTTTGATATTAAATACGGTTTTCGATTAATGTTCTATGTGGAATTTACAACAGCAGGCTAAATGCCCAAGATTTTACCAGCATGCATGATATTTAGAACTTCTGCAAGATGTAATACCTAATTATGCAGTTGCTTCAACTCCAGAATGGATGGTTCCAAGATGATTGCGCACAAGACATCAGCAGTGCAGCTGTATCTGATGAAGGAATTAGGAAAACAAATAATTGGATGCTGTGGTTTCAGAGTGTAGCTTCTACATTCACCTGACCTGTCTCCAATGGACATTTTCCTGTGGGGATACTTCTAAGAGCATATGTATGCATCCCTTCTTCAAAAATTGCAGGAGCTTAAACAACGTATTACAGATGCTTGTGCAAACTGTCACCCGCTTTGCTACAACGTGAAGTTTTAACAAGAGTTTAGATGTGTATTTCAGCAGATGAAGAGAAGTTTGAATATTGAAAATAAAGGTATCGTGACAACTAGTTGTTTTTTCTTTCTAAGATCGTTTTGTCATCTTGAAAAAACAAATGCATGTTTATACATTCTGTTCTTAACATTCATACCCACAAGTGTCTTTTCATTCTAAATTGATGATGCTCTGCATCTTTGCAACTCTCTTTTTCCTCTTATCTCATATTGTTTTCAAAATAGCAGTGCTAACTCTGCTATTTTTCACCAGGTTAAGTGGTCTCATCCAGTAGCACACAGCCTATTTACTGTACATAGACAGCACTTTTATGACTATAACTGCAGCAGTTCAGCAGTTAAACCGGTGAGACCAGAGTAATGTATCACTGAGACTAAAAAGAGGGAAACAAAGTAATGTGTGTGTGTGTGTGGGATTTTATAATATAAGCTGAAAAATAAGTTATCACATAGTTTCATCGGAAGAAGAGATTAAATAATTCTCTTCACAAAATTCATCAACAATTTTAAATCATGAATAATAAAATTATAACAAAATCTATTAATTGAATTGCACTGCCAAAACTACAAAGCATTATCTCCATAAATTTATAAAAGGCGTTCCACACTTTTATTATTCATGACATTCATTCATACATGAATCATGTAAGAAAAATTATTTGTAAAAAGAAAGGATGAATATTAAGAATTTAAAAAGTATTATATAAAATATTTTTTTTTAAATAAAATGATTACAATCAAATTTTAAATGACAAAAAATACTGCAACAAAATATGTTTAAAATAACTTTATATAAAATTTATGTTTATTTTAATTAATATTTTTTCTTATATGTATACTAACCTGTGCATCATTTGAACCATTCTGACATGGTAATGTATTATACGAACTAGTTTCAGGTATAAGTAATGTATCTGAGATAGCAGCAGCAGGTCCATAGATATGAGATGGTTGTGAGGTAGCACTAGTCACTATGGGTATGTGGTTGAGAGGACTAGAATCACGGGTGAATGCCGACAACTTAAAAAAATATATATATTATATAATACAAAACATGCTAATAGAAAATATTTTATAATTGTTACATAAATAATCATATTATTTAACTAATTATATTCAACCAATTTTGATATCTCCAATAACAGCTTCACTTATATTCATTCCATCTTTCAAAAGCAATAAGCTTTTCTTTACTTTTAATTTCATTAATTTTTAAAATTTCCTAGTAATTTTGTCTTAATTTTGTGACTTTTTAATACATCAGTATTTTTATAAAGTTTCTTTTGCACACATTTTTACTTGATTTGTCATTTTTATACCATTTTTTAATTTATTAGTCAGATTAGAGTGATAATATAAAAAAAGACAAGATTATCAAGACATTTAATAATTCTTTTTTGATTTTTTTCTTAAAATGTATTCTTCTACTTTAATTTAAGCTAAGGTGCTGTTCCCTTTACTCTCCTGATTATCTCCAAGTATCTGCTTACCATTTTTCTTAACATGCAAAATATATTTTTAAAAAATAGGTCTTTTGATATAGGTTAGGTTATTTGAACAGCACAACAGGGTTGCTAAGGGAGAGATGCGTTTGTGAAAGGTAATCTTAAGGGAAACTGTGTCATATTCATATCACACATGGGAAAAATCATAAAAACTACCTGCAGACAGCCCATTTGCCTAGCCAAGGTCAAACTATCAAAATTCTATCTACTCAGCTATTGATGGGCTCTGGAGTGCTTTGATAAAAGAACAACTATATACTATTGATGAAAAGCTAACATGCATAAAAATATAAAGCAAAGATAATGTGATAAAATTAGATAACAATAATTCATTTATTATACAGGTCTATCAAATATAAGTCTAGAAACACTATATACTAATATATAACTATTTCAGGCAATTTTGTATAAAGACATTTAGTCTAGCATCTATCACATCTGCCGAATTTGCTGCTAGATATTCAACAAATTCACATATATTTGCGAGATCGCTATGAACAGCATTTTAATATGTCCTAGGTCTCCTTGACAGAAAAGATGTCAGGGGCTCTCAAGCCAAGGGGGGGGGGATTGTGACATTACACAAAACTTTAATGAAGATATTTATCATGTGTGAATCAATATCTATTGCTTCAGGCCATTTCTCTCTGCTAGAGAAAGATGGGAACATATGACGTTGCAAGATATTGCTGATATATCATCACTTCATTGAAGTGGATAGATATCCCATTTATTGGATCCCAGTTGATGTGAAGTGATGCAGCTTTCACCAGGCCTCTTTCAGTCATCCAAGGAAGGTGGAAATCAATATTTTTCACTAAACATGATATGACTCGAATATAATACATTCCAAACTTCACTGTTATGACACCAGAGTTAAATAATAGTCAATAACTAAGAGTTAAAATGTTTCAACAGATGCCCACACTGAAATTCAGCTTGCCTTCTCACAACAGTATTTTATGACACTATGTATTCAGAAGATGTAGCAAACAGTAAAACTGTTAGAACAGCTTTTGTGACCACGATTCTAACAAGAAACTACATCCTAAGACAGCCTACACAACATGTATAGATGCCCTCTTCGAACAACAGGCAACATCACGTGACGTTGCTAGTGGTTAATATAAAAACATACACTTTAGTATTCAAATATGACTTGGACTAATAGATTTTTTAATAGTGATTCCTACAGTATAGTAAATAACCATGGATATTCTGACAATTACATACTATAATAAAGAGAAAATTTAATCATGCCCATTACATGTGATACCTGTGAAAGCAATGAGCAAGCAGAATAAGATCTAGCCTGCAATATAAAAGATTAATATTGAATTTTTGGCCATAAAAGATATCTTAAAGCCCCCAATTTTTCAATATGCTTTGCAGATAATAATCCAACACATATAGGAAAGTGAGGAAAGTTGCCATTTTACCATTATAATAAATATTTAGCTGTCAGTGTTACCTAATGTCAGCATAATAGTTTGATAGTAGTTATGCACTCAACTAAATATTAACTAAAGAGGAAATGCTAAACATTATCAACTAAAACATTGTCAACAAAAGGGAAAAAAGGTAGTGAAACTAATGGAGATTACTTTAATGATGACATGCTGAACATACATATAACCATTCTGCTTTTTCAGCCATTCTATTATTATTATATATCCATACAAATCTGACACATATTACAGCAATATTTAAATTTACTAGCAATTTCTCATGAACAGAAAAATAAAAATAATTTATAAGATATATAATTAAATCTTACTGTGATTAAGACTAAAACTTAGCAGTTCACAGCTAAAAAATTTCCATACCTCAGCTAATTTAGATTTGGAATTTTTAATCACTTTTTACTGAGCATATTAACTATAATTATAAGAACTTCCTCCAATCATCACTATGCAATATATATATATATATATATATATATATATATATATATATATATATATATATATATATTGCGAGTATATATATATAAAAGTCTACCATAAATCAGTAGACATATCACACAGAAATAGAAACACAAATATCATCATATTGCATAGAAAATAGCATTGCTTTATTAAATTCAGCAACAGAAACTGCACATTGCATTTATAACAGCAATACTTTGTTACATTATTATACTATGAATAGCAGGGAAAGCAATTATGCATTTTTTTTCTTTTTTTTAATACAATAATAAAAAATAAATTTTTCAGAATGATATTTTACACAGTTAATTGGTTTTTTGCTTCAATTCTACCTCGTAGGAGTTAAAGATCTATCTTTACCACACCAAGAAGGATTTTTCTTTAAGTGAAGGGTATTTTTTTTTTTTTTTTCCCTTCAAAACATAAGATTGCCAATTTTGGCACAAACACTATTAAAGGCAGAAACAGCAAGCTTATGGTTTATCTAAGAATGCATTATTGTTAAATCTCTATATCTAATTAAAATGAAATTGGCAAACTATATAAAAATTTATCTCTGTATACTACATCTGCAGATTTCACTTAATATTCACTAAACTTAAGAATTGCAAATTTGGTAAATAATTATGTATTTCCAAACTTTTTAATTTTGAAGTCTATTATTAAACCATTCTACTTTTTGTAGTTAGAATTATTAAGATATAATACAGTAATAATAAGAACAGAATAAGTCACAAGCTATCAACAAATATTTGGATCCATAAATACTAATACAGGGTTCGTACACATTTCTGCGCATGAAAATTAAGTACTTTTAAGGACCATTAACGAAAAAATTAAGGACCTATGAGCAAATGGAAACTGAATAAATTCAATTTAAAATATTATTCTATGCCTGAATTTGACTTTTGTAATACCATCCTAAGAATGAAATAGATCCCTAAGTAGTATGCATTATTACTAAACATGAATTAACTAACATAATTATTAATAAGTCTGAGAATAAAATAAACTTCATGCAGTTTATCGAGTAGCATTAAATATTTTACACTTATAATAGTTGGACATATTTAAAAGAAGATAAGAGACATTTACGTTTTACTAATAGTTAGCTTTTTTTTTTTTTTTTTTTTAATGTCTTATTTTGTCACATACTTGGTCATTCTAGAGGTTTAGCGAATAGTAGGGAGATTTTATGTCAAATGGCATAGGTTAAAATGAGAATCAGCATGATTCATAACAAAAGACTGAATGTTATCCCTCCGCTGCTTGTCAATAAAGAGACCTGTTGATTGGAACAAACCTGAAAGGCCTGATGTAGGCACGGTTGACAAGTGTTGAAAGTTAGTCAAGCTCTGCTTAATGCAGTTAATGTTATAACTTTGTGTAGAGTTCCAGGGGTTGTAACCCAGTTAATATACTTTAAGGTTCCAATAAGCCATTAAAGCGCCAGAGGTGATAAATTGTTTTATATATAAGTCTCAGTAGCTGCAAAGAATAAGTTTTACTTGATGGTGTTGATGGTTACTTGATGGGTGTTGAATGATGTAATCTGAGAGAATTACATGGGAAAAACGCTTACTATGAAAAAATTAAAAAGAAGACATTTTAATTAATTACACAGCTAATTTTGCTTTATAGCTATATACCTTGTTTATTTTTCAGATTTAAAATATTGTATAATAAGTTGCCAAAATGAAACTTTATAATATGACAGCGAAAAATAAAAATGTTTTATTTTAATTTATTTTTTAAATATAATTCTAACATATAACCATTATTTTAATGAAATTTATCAATGTTATGATGTTTAAAAAAAAAAAAAAATCACAGAAAAATTCTCAGATCTCGGAATTAAAAATTTTACATAGAAACTGATCTTAAAATCGCCAAAATGTTGATAAGTTGTCAAATTTAGAACCATTTAATAAAAGAATTCCCAACCCCAAAAGCGAAAAGTTGTTTAAGAGCTCTTTATTAGAAAAAATGAATTTCGAAATGCTTATGTTTCACTTCTTGCTTAGAAACTCGAGTATCCCATCATTTATATTAGAAATAGAAACAAATTATAACCCATGAACCCATTCAAAAGATAACCATATACGTCAGTGAATTGCCAAAAATATTCCTCCAAAATGCTAATTCACACTCAAAATGACAGTCGTAAAAACAGAGAGAAATTTCAGATGATTAAAATTAAGGACCTTCTACTGATTTTGGCCAAAATTAAGGACTTTTAAGGACCAAAAATCGATTTCAAAAAATTTAAGGACTCTTAAGGACCATACGAACTCTGTAATAATGTCTTAATATTTTTTTATGACCATCATCAAAAAATACTAATTGCAGCGAAATTTTCATGGGTTTCCTTGTGCATAATATGCATACAAAGGAATTTCTCATAAAACATCCTCCAACAAGTTATCAATCGTTATATACTAACTATTATAATTTATCTGTAATCTTGAAAATCATGGGCTGGAACATTTAACCTGTCTTCCTTTTTACTATTTTCTAGACACATATTCACATAAAAAATTTATGAACTTAACAACAACAACAACAAAAAAGATGTTAACTTCCTTATAAAATTTTCTATTCTACAACAAAATAATATTAATTAATGCAAGGATGATTCTAAATAAGCTAAAGAAAATTTCAACTACCTGAGCCTGTAACTGCGACAAAATCTGAAACGGAAAGGAAATATTTTAACCAAAAATAGAAAATTACCTTTTAAAATGAATTTTATCACTTTCTAAAGCATTTTGACAGATTTCTCAAGCACGAGCAATATCTAAGGATATTAAGTTTTACTCTTAAATTTTAATAAAATGCAGGGGTGACTGAAAAATTATGCATTGCTTTTAATAATTTTTTTAACAAAATTGTATTTATAAATTTATAATCAGAATAAAAATTAAGTTAGTAATAGTTTGAACAACAAATTCTGGCACTAGAAGGTCTTATTTATTTCCTTTCTTCTCTTTAGCATTACACCTGTGTTAAAAGTACTGGTTTATCTACAGAGGAGGAGATTTGAATAAATAAAAAGACAGACAATCTATACATTTTTTAATGCATCTTTCCAATACACTATAAAATAAATAAGCAAAACTCCCCCCCCCATTGGTTGAAAATAAAGATGTTCTAAGCAGAGTACTAAAATTGCATTCAAAAATACAAATCTAATACATAATAACTACTATATGAGATTCACAGTTCATGTTAAATCATTTTTACTAACTAACATTAAAACAGGAAAGTAATTTCTTTAATCAGAATCAAATTGGTATTTTTTTATGAACTTAAATAGGCCCTCTCTTTCAGTTTTTAACATTTTAATATATGCTAATGTTGCTTTCTGATAATGAATCAGAACACATTAAAAAAACTTTAAATGCATGTAAGGTATAAAATATGTAACTCAAAATTACTGAATTTAGCAATAGTCCTTTTAATTTCTCATTTTACTTTGGTTACGTCTCCTTCCTGGAATCTAAACTGCATCATATTTGAAAACTAATCAGCATTATGTCATCTTATCCTTCTGCATTGCAGATGGTTCTCATCCAATCATAGACCTCAAAAATTAAAGCAGATGAACAGAGTTTATAAATACTGGTGCTACTATTGCACAGCCCCTTTTACTATTTTGCCTTTCTGCTGTTTGGAGCGTTACTCCGCCTCTGCTAACTATTGTTCATTATTCTGAAAATGTAAGCTATATAGAATGGTGGGGTGCATCCTGCATCCATAAAATGATGCTGAGTGAATCTGTTCATGTATATCAAGGTTTACTATGTTAAGAAAATAAAATTATGTGTTCAAATTTGAAGGCATGACTGAAAATCCTTCCCTGTTATCTCGTAATAAATCTCTACACAGTTTAATTTTAATCTTTTAAGTCATCTCCATAGAAGCTACTACACATATATAAATTTTACAGCAGAAACATCAAATGAATTCTGTTAGAACAGAAATGGGTACTTCTATGTTATAGTGGCCTTAGAAAGAAAACAATGATTATTGATCTGCACATAAATGCATAGTTTATACTTTACATGTGCACATTGTTTATGTTTCTTAAGCTTACCATTTTCAATCTTCCCTGTTATAGCAATCAGTGAAGGCAAAACAAAGAGCACAAGGATACTGCTTCCTATCATCTGGTGTCCTGCCTGGCAGAGTTTATGCTCAGGCATCACAATGGTCGTGATAATGTGATACATTATTATCAGTAGTTGCTGAACTGTGGCTACCAGAACGTGTTTGCTTATAATGAATTTTATATACATGCTATTTATTTACATAAGTAGTTTACAAAATTGTATTAAATTAAATAATAAATAAAAACCTAGATTAAATTGCTTCTGTATGTGTATATTAAACAAACTATGTATTGTGGACATTGAATTAATTGCTAGTGTGCTTTAGTAACTGCTTAAATCTTGCCAAAGCTGGAATGTGCCAATTCCCATTTCTTGCTCCAAAATTGTTATAGAAAATTTCAGCGATATTATACAATATGAAGTTCACAATCTCAAGAATAGAATGAAAACTCACATGAGGAAGAACTTCAGGCTTTGGAATGGGGCTGCAAGGTATTGGACTTGGAGTAAGTGGTAAGCTACTAGATCCAACAGTTGCAGCAGGGCTATGGCCAGCCATAGGACTTTTGTGACAAACAAAATCCTGCAATAAATTTAAATAAATTACATAAAATTTTTTAAAACAGAGAATATTCTCGCTGAATTTTTATTTTTTACTAAAATCATATATTGGATTTGATTAAACAAGTTATAGAACTATCAAATTTAGATGCCTTTTTCAAAAGGGTATGAACATAGTTATATTAGACATACACAAAAGATATCCTACTTTGTGACTATGAACCTTTTTGTGCACAAACTGAAGGACTGCCATCAGTATGTACGTACATACACACAAGCAAACAAAACCAAAAACATCCCTGCCGCTGAGTTACATTAGAGGCTTTGTTAAGGTGTTTTATGTTCTTGCTGAACTCGCAGTTTGCCAATTTGCTCTTGGACTTAAATCCTGCTTTTTTTAACTTATTTTTACTCCCTTGTATGAAGTAAAAAGGAAGTATTGTAATCGCGAAAAGTTTCAGGCAGCATATTTCAACGAAAATATCCATTTTGACCGCTATCGAATGCAATTTAACGATGTTTTTGCGTGATATCTGTACGTAAGGACAGAATAAAATACTCTTTTCCTTCAAAAAAAAAAAAAAAAAATTTATAAAACTGCTTTAAAATTAATTCTGAAGAGAATTTTTCGTGGCGTCTGTATGAACGTATGTATCTCGCATAACTCAAAAATGAGTAGCCTCAGAACGTTGAAATTTTGTATATAGGACTGCTATAACATGTAGATGTGCACCTCATATTTTGGTTGCAATCGGCCGCACAAAACGTATATAAATATATTTATATATATATCCACTCTATTACCCGGCTCAGTGATCTCAGTTTCTTTACTCTTATATGTTTGTAAATTGTACATTTTTTGCTTTAAAAATGATTGAATTATGTTGTTTTTATCTTCCGGTTAAGGATTTTATGCCTTTAGTAAATCTGTGTGCAATATTTTAGAATTATCAGCAATTTTAAAGTTGTTTAATTGCCGCTAAGCCTAATTTGTTTTAATGGCGGCCATTGAATGTTTACATTTGAACATGTAGCAGACTAGTTGGATTTGTTGCCAATCTAGAGAAACTTAGCTTCGCAACAACAAAGATAACGCATTCATTTATTATTGCCAATTAAATCATGCTTAATTCTTTCTGGAATTTTTTCGAGGAAATAAGCGTTTGAGATTTACTTCGTAATTTTTAATATAGATATTTTGAGTTTTTGTGTATTTTTGCCTTCTCACGAAGTGAGAACTGAATTAATTAAATGAGAAATACTCAATCAAGGTACTGTAGTCGCAAAAAATTTCAACTATCATATTTCAATGAAAATATCCATTCTGATCACCCTAATCTAACTGAATGACTTTTTTTTTTGCATGACATCATACATACAGACAGAACAAAGGACCCCTTTTTTTTTTCCAAAACAGATTGTAAGATGAATTAACAATGGATTCAGAAGAGACTTTTTTGTGACATCTGTATCTATATATGTACGTATGTATGTATTTTGCATAACTAAAAAATGAGTAGTCATAGAGTGTTGTACCTGGACCTGCTATAACATGCAATTCTGCACTCTCTTTTTTGTTGCTGCAAAAAACATACACATCCTGTTATGCCTTTAGTTAATCTGCATGCAATTATTTCAGAATTATCAACAATTTAGAAGTTTAAGCTGTGCTAGGCCTAATGAGACTGTCATTTGTTTACATTAGAATAGTGAATTAAGTCAGTTGGTGCACTAACTTTAGTGTCTTTTTGTTCAATGGGGACAAAATTTAATTTCCAATTTTTAACATTGAAAATGCTGTCTTCCAGCCCGTTCCTTCCGAACTGCTTCTTTTTGTGTATACACTCTAATTTCATTCATTTATTTATTTTTTAAATTTAAACCATTTTTAACTATATTTGGTCTTTCAGGTGTTTCTTTATTTTGCATTTTTTAATGAAAATGTTTTGATGTGCCATAAAGTGAGAACTTGACAGAATGAGAAATATATTTCTAATGAAATTCGAGGAAATAAGTTTAAACGAAGTGCAGCAAAAAAAGTGTGTTATTTGATAGGCTGGTGCAAGGAAGTCATGTGGTGTCCACATCAGTCTCACTCAGCTAATATCTTTGCTATTTCAGCCTACTGGATCGCATCAGTCAGATGGTAAAAATAACATTTTTTTATAGTTACAAGCAAATAAATGCAAAGCAACATTTATTTTTGGCACATTTAATACTTTTAAAATTAATACCAAAAGAGTATATCCAGGTTTAAAGAAAAGATATTTGGAAGGAAAAATATATTTTAAATATGTTTTAGTGAAAATAAATAAATATCTGTATATAAACAAAGTGTTTTTAATAAAAATTTTCTATAAACCATATATAATTAATACAACATCCTTAAATTTTACATTACCTAACTGATGATGTAAAATGATTCCCCAATCTCCATGGTAACTTACTTTTTACAAACCTGTATTTTAGAAATACCAAGACTATTCAACTAAGAGGAGTTTTTATGCATTCATTTATACAAGAATGTGATCTATTTATTATACAAAAAATTTCACAGTTATTTAAATAATCAGGGCTTAAATATTTAATATAATATCATATTCAGGTCTGAGTAACCTTTTTAGGTAAACCTTCAATAAAAAATTTAAAAACCATTTAAGTTCTATGACCTGATTTTTTTAAATTAAACAACTAATTTAATTTTCAGTAACAAGCATATAAATAAATAAAATAGAGATTATACATGCATGCAATAACTAAAAAGTCAAAATTAAAAGTAGAGAAGTGACGGTAATAATATGGAGGAAAATATTTCTATTTTAAAATACATCTACGATTCCTTGACTATCATGGCTGTTTTTTTATAGCACAACTATGCCAACACTATATTCACAAAATAAAAATTTGGCAATTTTGTTGGCACAAAATATACAGTCAAAAGTCGTTAATTTGGACACCCATAATCCGGACCTCAAAGCTGCAAACTTTCTGCGCATGCGTCACGTTGACTAAACTAAGCTAAAATTATCTAATTCAGTTAATGTTGCAGATTGCGTTGTTCCTTAATCTTCGAATTGGATACGGCTTCTTATTTTTTGCAGACTGTTAGAGCAATTTTATAAAAGTAAGCTTGAACTTTCGATTATGTCAAATAGAATTTCCGATATATATTTAGTAAAATGTAAAGGATCTACAAAGCGAAAGTATGTTTTGAAGTCCATTAAACAAAAAGTGGAATTGCTGCAAAAAATGGATAAAGGCATATCCTTTGTTTATCTAACCATTCTGAAATCTGTTTTTCAATTTCACCCTGCTCTGCTGGGGGGGGGGACGTCGCGGCGCACAATGAATTTACAATGACAGACAATCAATCAAATTACACAGCACTATCCTTATCTTCAGGGCAGATTTTTTATTTTATTTGGCTTATAATTCCTTACTAAATGTAGTATTTCATCTCGATGTACTTCGTCTTTGATATGATTTAAATCAAATTTCTCGTCATTATAATTTGCTTCCGATAAAGAAGAAAGTGACACAGAGGTTATGGAAAATGAAACAACTTACATTGAAAGAAATGTTTAATAAAATAAAGAAATAAATATTAAGCTTTTTTTTTTTTTTTTTGTAATTTTGATACCCTTTAGATCATAACTGCTCTTTATTTCATAAATTACGGATTCATATTTTTAATTTTATAATTTCTGCATACCATCTTACCAGATTTATACTGATGATCTATAATCCGGAAAAATCAATAACCCGGAATCGCTGAAGTCTCGACGAGTCCGGATTAACGACTTTTGACTGTATTTTATTAAAACTATTCATCTGTTACAATTAGCCCTGAAAAAATTATGATTATTACTTGATATAATAACACTGAATGATATTAAATGGTTTATTGTATTGAAAAGAAAAAATTATTTAACCAATCAATATAACAGTCTTCATCAGGATTTCAGTTAATGAAAACATATGATATAGACTGTTTTCTTTCACACATTTAATATGTGCTCACATTTTGCAAACTAAGCATTGCATCCGTTTTTCTTCACCAGAGTTGTTGTAAGCATTTTCGCAATTTAAGCCAAATCACTTTTCTGTTTCAGAATCTGTATCTAAGTACAAAAATCATCTTCCTCACCCAATTTATCTCTGTTTTCTGTTTTGATCTTTTTTAAAACCTTTCACTTTCTTTAATTTTTTTCATTTCTTTTTCAATATCTCTTCATATTCTTTTAACAGTTTTTCCTAATCACTTGCGTCAGTTAGAATGGCAGATTTCCTTTTCCGCTGGCTTGTGCTACACTGCTTTCAAGGTGAAACTTTAGGAAGAGGTCTAATTCTTGAGGGTGAAAAATTATTTTGGAAAATGAAATTAAATAAAAGAAAAGTAATTTGCATACTAACATTTAATGAAGTATGTTTATATTTCTGTATCCTACACTTTGGCCTATTGCATACTTTCAGACATTTTTGTTGATTTATTAAAAACAAAACTGTGATAAGTAAAAAATTAAAGCAACATTTTAAACCTTAATACATACACAAAATAACAGGTAAAACCATTTGAAAAATGTTCAGTTAATTTATTTTAAATCAAAAAATTTTTACTTTAATCAAAATTTAAATTTTTATCATGTTTAATGAAAATTTTCATTAAAAACCATGGCAAAGTAGTGTGTGTTACTACTTACCACTACTACAATTAGCCCCTAGTTCCCCTACATACAAAAAATAATACTTGTTTTGTAATGGCCATGTTGCTGAGCCCTGCTATACTTAATTGCTTATTAAAATGGAACTAAAGCAAGAATATATGAAAAATAAACTGTAATGTGTATTAATATATTAAGTTTGGATTGAAAAGGCTTCCAAAATATTATTGGCTGTGGATTGCTAGATTCTTCCTAACTGACTAGAAAAGCTTGATTTCCGATTATTATGCTGGGTAAAATTAGAAAAGTATGATAGTGAAATTCACAATTATCATTATTTCCTAAGTTAATCTACTAGTTTTTACTTAGTTACGTAGAAACATCTTCAAGCCACAAAAGTTATGCTTAGGAAAAGCAAGTTTAAGAGTGTTCCTAACTTTCAACATATTGCTAACCTTTTTATTAATAGAATCACTTTACGTTTTAAATATTAAATTTAGAAACTAAAGCCTACAATTAGCATTAATGCCCAATCCTTTAAAATGCAAGTTATTTATATATATATATATATATATAAATGAAAATATGCATTCCATATAAGATCTAATTTTAAGGCCAAAATGCCAATGTGCTGTACTTGAAAATTTCACTTTTATATTTTTGCATCTGAGTATAAAATCAGTATCTAAGATAATATGGATTATATTTAGCTCAAATTAACTTACTAATTTATATTATTAATAATTAAAATAACCTTTAGAAATACACTTATCATACAAACTAATTAAATCTTTTTATGCTGACATAAAAAACAAAAAATGAACAATACCTGAGTACTATGTACCATGCTACTATCAAAAGGCATATAGTTAGCGAAATTTGCTGAAGTAGCATGTCCATCACTAGGAGATACTGGTTTGCTTGTTAGCAAAGAAAGAGCAGAATAAGGTAAATTGTTTGCTACAACATTTTCTGAATGTGGAAGCACTTTTAAGCGAGCATTAATAGCCAGTAAGCAATCTCGTCGAGATACCAATTCTGACACTTCCTTTTCCAAGCGGTTATTTTCTGACTGTAATTGATGAAGGCATGATATCATGGACGCAACTGTGGGAAAAAAAGTTAATTGATATTTTATTATAATATACAAACACATTTTGAGAAAGAATATATTTCAAATAATAGAAAACAAAAATGCGAATATGAGATGCCATATTTTAATTACAATATACAATATTAATATTAAATACTATTTAATGCATAAAGCTGCATTTCAATCTTAACACCATTATTTAGAATAGAATACAAAGATGGAAATAGCAGTTTTTAAATTCATACAATAACATAACAGGCATATTTTATTTCATTGGATTATGCAAGTATTAACTTTGACAGAAACTTTTAATTTAATAAAACAAAGATTTATAGGATTTCTATGTCAAAACAGTCAATCAAACAACGTTATGATTATCTAAAGGTATAATGAATATCAACTGTGTAATGACTAGTTCAACTGTTAAATAAAGGTGTATAATAAAAAAGAGAGAGAGAGAGACAGAGCTTTGTTTGGGAGGGGGGGGGAGAGGGAATTTTAAGATGCCTATACGCTAAAAATATCTGGCTGCCAAATTTTGCAGCATCAGATCTTTCTGTATGATGCGAAACACACAACACAAAAACTCTTTCTTATATTATGAGAGATTAACACAGCCAGCTCATGTGTAATGAATCTATTTACATTGAATTATTACATATATCAAATTTTAAATATTTACTTTAAAAACTGTACCTGAAAAACAAGTATGAAAATCATTTATATTCTCACAAATTTTGTACATATGTAAATAATTTTAGTGATATTGTAGTTTTGTTTTTCTTTTAAATAATAATAATGTAACATGAAAATCTAAAAGAAGCAAAGCTTTGCAAGAAAAATAAGAACTTAGGGGGAAGTCCATTTACCATTGAGTACATGGCTACCTTGCTAAATTGGCGAGATATTGCCAAGCTAGTGACTAGTGACAAATTTGTCACCAATTTTGGCAAGGAACAACCAAAAGTCACCAAACTTGGCAAATCATTTTGTTCGGCCTATGTATAACCATATGGATATTGTAATTCAATAACTGTTAACTAATCCTTACTTAACTCCAACCATATCCAGCCACATATGCCTCCCAGTAATTCTGAGAAGTGGAAGGTACTGGAAATCTCTCGGTGGCCAGAAGTAAACGATATAAGACTAAGAGAGCATCAGTTTCTCGGTAGTAGGTGTTAGTTCAGAGATGAATAAGGGGTAGTCAGATATCCACGTAAGCTTCACCTTTTAGGTGTGCTTTGCATTGCATTGCGTTTAACCTTCTTACTAGTTTGAAATATAACTACTGATTGTACTCTGTGATACTGTGAAGAGCTGTACAACTACTTTTTTTTTAAAGTTCCAGAATTGTGAAGTGTTTCTTTTGGTAAAATAAATTTTAACAAGCTATTATTCAGTCCTGTGTGCATTCAATTTATTACAAAACTGTATGCATGCACTGGTGTTAGAAGTGGGGTTGAATGCCGGTAACAAGTGTGATGGAGGAACAATTAAAACAACACATTGCAGCTTTTGCTGCATTTAAAAACAACATAAAAGTGGGCAAAGAAAAGATGGAAGAGACCATCAAATAAGTTCAAGAAATGACTGAAGCAGGTCAAGAGGAAATAAAAAGAAAAATTACCTCCAAAATAGAAAATAAATTTGAGGTTATGGAATGTTGAAAATAAAGTTAAAAGAAATTGAAGATAGATTTTCTACTATTGAACAATTGATTAGAGTTTCTGCTATTGCTAAAGAAATTGACAGCTTTAAGAAATTCACAGCAACAGCAGGAAGCAATTCTGATGATTTTACATTTTTTACTCATGCTTTCTTGTCTCTCTTTAAAGCTATCCATATATGATGGTAAGACCTCCTGTTAGGTGCACATGACTGAGTTTTCTATACTGGCGGATGCAAATGGATGGCATTCTATGTCCATTAAAGAAGAGATAAAAGCCACTCAAGGAAAGATAGAAAGGACCATCAAGTCAGTTGAAGAAAAGATTAAAGCAGGTCATGAAGAAATGATATGAAAAATTACTGCTATAATAGAAAACAAATTTGAAGGTATGGATGGCAGAACAGACATGGTTGAAAATAAAGTTAGAGAAACTGAGAAAGAGTTTCTACTGCTGAACAAGAAATTGGAGAAAAAGTTTCTGCTGTTGAACAACAAATTAGATAAAGTTTCTGCTGTCAAACAACAAACAGAAGAAATAGTTTCTGCTGTTAAACAACAACTGATTACACAGTTTCTGCTGCAGGCACCAAGGAAGTTGACAGCTTAAAAAAGTTTATAATTACAGCACAAAACTATTCTGGTGGTTTTACATTCCTAGCCATGTCTTCTAATCCTTCTCTAAAGCTATCCACATATGACGGAAAGACCTTCTGGCAAGTGACTCGTTTTCTATAGTGCCAGATGCAAATGGATGGGATTCCCAAGCTAAGACCTTCTACCTCGCCCCCTTCTCTGAGAGCAGACCACTAGATATCCCTCAGATAAATTAAGTTTGAAACTATTTAAGCACTTGCTTCGTTTCTGTTAGTCATCGTTATAACATTAATTAACTGATACATGCTATGTATAACTTTTTTTGTAATTGAAGTTTTTGATACATAAAAATTTTTTCATGTTACTGAAAGGTAATTTATGCATATGCCTGTATAATTCAGTTAAATGAACTCTTGTCAAAGTGAGGAGTGTGTTGAGAAATATTTGTTGATATTGCCACAAAGATGGTGCTACAAGTCCATCTATTCGGGTACTTAACGCCTCCCCTTCTGGACACGTGACCATATAACAGGGTTCATAGCCACATTTTAGTTAAAAAAATAAGCACCTATAAGCACTTTTCAAGCACATTTTAAGAAAAAAAATAAGCACGCATCTAATTACATTATACACAACTGCATAACCTTAAAAATTAGATTTGTAATTTAAAATATGAGAAATGCTGTATTTATTAACAGAGAATAAGCATTACCTTAACCATAGAAAATAATTATTATTATTATTTTTTTAATTTTAAATAACAGTTCAGTTTACAGAACTAGTTTACGATGAGAGAAAAAAAAAAAACTATGCAGAACTAAACTATATTACAAGATTTAATGATGAAATTTCAGTTCAAAATAGAGAAAATAAATAATAAGGCATATTTATTGTATTCACTTGGAACCTAATAATAAACACAATTTATTTTTCCACTCATATTGATATTTAAATAATTTAAATCTAAATTCTGAACTTTTTCTAAATTTTCATTGTGTATCAGTTTTCCCTTAACAGATATTGCAAGCAAATTAAGTAAAAAAAGAGGAACATTTCTGAAATCAGAAGACAGAAATTTGCTTCATGCAGTCATTCTTTAACAGTAAAAGCTTAACTAACCCGCATACTTGGAAATTGGCGAATATTCGGACAGTCGAGCATAACTTGAAAAAGAGGAGCGGAGGGGGGGGGTAGACTGTAGCCACTCTTTAAATTTTTCCGCTAAATAAATGCATTTGACATTTCAATATGTGCATCATACAAAAATAAACCAATGGAACGGAAATAATTTCACATTTCTGAAAAATATTCTGCTTAACAGGCACAGTAAAACTCTTTTAAGTGCTCATAAACAAATCTCGGACAGAACATCAAAATTAATTATCTCTGCAAAATATCGCAAAGCGTTATTGTGCAATTATGTTCGCCGTCATTCTTCCCTACGTGATATTATGCAATTCGGAATCAACTAACTGCCGGTATTGGGAGAATAAAGGAACTAAATAACATTGGGTGTTTCTCATTCTAATTTTCAACAGACGACGTTAAATTTCCGGAATAGAATCATTCTTCATTGGGTTGGTAGACTGCAGAACTTTTAGTCCTATTCAATCCAGATTGGAAAATGACGAAAAAAAGGTCTGTTGCTTGTTTTGCAGCGAACTGTAACAGTTTCAATATTCGAGATTTTGCGGAGAAAGGGGAGAACCTCCCAATCTTCGTACTGTATAATGTATTGGCCAAAAAAATGAAATTAGTTTGACTATTCGATTACTTTCCTTTTATTTAAGCCATTCCGAATATTATTCTTTAGAAAGCTAATCTGTGTTAAAACACAACCATTTTTGGAAGTTTACTATACTTCAGCAGTTACTGCAATTATGTTATTATAAACATTCATACATATGCTCATAATATAAGCATAACGATCATAATATACATGAATATGAACTGACCAAGTGGAACGATAATGCAAATTATTGAGATCTTGACAGAAATTCACACGTGTGTAGTATTTGGGCAGGAGGAAAAGAATGCCGAATGTACCGGAATTTTCTACTGCTTTCGCATTTCTTTGACTAATAGAACGATGGACACCTGTCTGTACTCTTCGTGCACACCAAAGGTTATGTTAATTAAAAAGGGAAGGGGAATGGGTGTTAAAAAAAAAAAAAAAAAAAAAAAAAAAAAAAAAAAAAAAAAAAAAAAAAAAAAAAAAAAAAAAAACAAAAAAGTGTGCAAAAATAAATAAAAAAAAAAAAAAAATAAGGGATTAAAAAAAAAGTAAGCACCTATAAGGGCCTTTATATTTTATTTTCAAATATAAGGACTTATAAGGGCTGCTACGAACCTGTATAAGAAGTGGTAATTCTATTTTTTTTAAAGAATTCAAACTGCAATATGCAGTATAATTTGAATGTTAAAAAAATTCAATGGAACTACTGAGTTCCCGATATTTAAGTTCTGGAAATGGATTTAGGCCTTTAGATCTTATGTACATGAGTATATATAATTCGTTTAAGTTTTCATTAAAAGATCGTAAATCATCTTATGTCATGCACTCTCATTTTTTGATTGTTGATTTGCTTTGAACCTGAACAAGATGATTGTGCTCTGTCATACTCAGAAGAGTTGTATGAGAAATTCTACAAGAAGTTCTAGCATAGAACTGCAAAGTTTTTCTCTCGGGAAACTGAATTTTATCCAGCTACCATCAGTTCTGTGTGCATTCAATGTATTACGACGAAC